AAAATCAGGCACGATGTACTATTTCTTCTTTTTTCCAGGTAAGCCAGGTCTACGTCATCCGCGTGGTCAAAAGAAGGAAGTGTATATCGTGGTTTAAAATTCAAGACACCAACTGTCACCGAGAACTTAATAATGCACCTTGCTTAAGTTGTTTCTGATGAACACTGCAATGGCGCACTTTTAGCTAAAGCCGTTTTAGCGGAAAATATCTGGACACAACATAAACGATTGAAGTTGTGCTACCAGCATAAATGCTTAACACGGGCCTTGACGATTAAATCCCAGTAGATTCCATATATTTGTGGCGCATCGCGATTAGTGACCCTTCTCATAAAAATTAGTTATAGACCGTTTGTATTTTACTATCTGTAATTTAGAGTTTACAAACTAAAAGTTACAACTGTTTCATAAAACCAGCGCGTGTTGTAGAACCGTAATTGTAAAACACGACGCCGTGTTTAAGTTGTCAACGCCAATCGGCGGTCTTGCCAACGACGCATAAGAACTACGCCTGACCGGCTTTTTCCACTCCATGGGCCCAACTTTGACGTGACGTCACTGGAGTTTCGACACAGCGAAGGCAGCGCGCAACCCCGCGCGGTGGATATTACGATCTAGATAGTTCCGTTTCCGTTGGTTATAGCTATACTGCATGTCAAATTTGTTGGGCATAGCTACGCTTTCCTCCTTCCACCTCATGTAATGCGTTACATCATCAAACGATTAGTTCCGTGCAACTTCGGGATACCTAACCTAAATTACATCACCCACGCTGAGCTCGATATTAATAGCAATGCATGCAGTCAGGTTCACGCAGTCAGGCTGGCGGTTCTCGCCGTTCCCGCTTCTACCGGCGCCGGTTTCTGTGTCGCCCGTGTGCACGTGCCCAGGGTCGCACCTAGAATATTGGTGCAGCAGGGTTGACACAGAGGTCTATGAAAGATCCCTGTTGAAAGAGTCCCGAAGTTTTGAGCGGACTGCGACTTTTCCTTTCGTTTCTTTTTCATCCAGTTCTTCCGACGGACGTGTTCATAGAGGTGGCCATGGAATGGACACTGAGGGGACAAAGTGCTTGTTTCGTTCAGGCGGCGCCGTGAGTGAAACGCTGGGGGCCACAGAATACTTATGGTACGGCATTCAGGTGCCACGGGCGCCGGGCCTTCTGATCGATTCCGGGCCGCTCTGAGGACACATTGATTTTCTTCATGACCCAGGCCGTCCTCTGACGGGAGCAGTTGGTCCGGCTCGGAGTAGTCTTTAAGTGACCCACAATAATTTCTTACGGGCGCGAGGGGTCTACTTAATGACACAGGAATCACTTAACAAAATCAGGTCCTTGGGTGAAACGCAGTGTTGGGCCCTTTGTTGGTTAATGGTCATACTATCGGACACGAAGGTGCTGTGCCGAATTTTAGGTATAGAGGAGAGATATTCATTCGTTTAACCCAACCACCGCAGTGAACAGCGACGCCTACCTGGAAATCTTGAGGACATTGATATGGCCCTAGTTATACATGCTCAAGTGAACATGTCGCATTCGCAGTTTAGGTGACGCCTTTCACGTACTTGCCGGTCTCACTGCGCCTTAAAGACATGGTGTGTGTTAGAAAGTGAGCGCTATAAATCGTCTCTAAAATGCACGTTGGTC